AATCATCTTCACAAATAATAAATAAATATATTATATAAGTAAATTTAATTAATTTTTATCTTATTAAATCGATGAGTCTACAATATATGAAAATAATAGTCGAAAAGATTAGCAAAATCTTTAGATAGAACGTATCATGAATCTTCACAAATAAAGACATCAATTAAATGATATATTTATTAAATTACTTTACTAAATCGATGATTTTACAATACACATACTAAAAATAATAAAAACTGAAAACATATACATAGACAGGTTTCTACATAAGATATATATCACAACTGCAAAGCCGTAACGTATATTGCTGTCGATAATAAGCATTCATATATATTTCTCTTTAATCACTGTGCACTTTAATTCTTCAGTTTTTTTTTTTTAATTAGAAGTTATTAATATGACAAGCGGGAAAGAGAGGATCCTCCTTATTTCTCGGTTATGCTCACATCACGTACTTGCCTGATTCATGGGACTCGGGAAACTTTGCTCCCCCGAACCTTTCCCTTCCAGTCGGGGGAGACAAAACCCCCTAAACCTCCTGCCATTTGTCTAAGAAGAGGAAGGAATGGACATACCCTTTACACGTATATATTTTGCAGTGCAAAGCGAGATTAATGATTGTTCGGTTTCACATCGATTTTCAACTTCCCATGCAAAGCTAGATTCCACAGTTAAGTTTATATACTCTTGTATATACGTGAACCATATCCTCAGTTTGACATTACTAGTGCAGAGTATACCACTCTGTGTACTGCAAGCAGCAAATTCTTAACAAAACAAATAACTTTATTTAAACGTTTTAGCATTAAATCTTTTTTTATCAATAAAAATCCACTTAGGAATACTCATTTGACATTATTTTGAATATTTTTGCAAAAATATTAATAGTTGAATGTGAAATGTTTTCAGAAGTTTAGCCAAATTAAATTTCCCAGAAAAGGGGAAAAACTATTTTTCGAATTTCAACTTAATTTTTTATTTTTATTACAAAAAATTATTGACTAATCAAATCTCATCCTCTTTGTTATGACAATTTTAACGATTTTTTGAATAATTTCACTTTTGACGATAGAATAAGAATAGACGTTTATTTATTAACTCATTAAATGTAATTAAGCTACGTGATTTGTCTTTTTTGGAATAAGAAACTGATATGATTTCTGGATGAGATGATAGGAAACATTATACATATGAAAATTATACATTATTACAAAATAATCGCAATTCATAATATATTGTATAAAGACAAAAGTATTGAATTCTTTATAATTGTACGCTTATGGACGCGCTATTCATTCTATTCATCTTCTATATGTTATTATCATGTTTTTTATCGAATATTATTCATAGCTAATTTGATTCATTCGCCACGTATTGCACAGCGGCAAATTGATTTGATAAATTGACTGCTGCGCGACAACACACAGAAAGACGGTGGATACGTAATTCTCTCATTTTAAATCTCCGGAGATCGCGGGCCTTGAGGGATCCGAGATAGAAATGCTAACGGAATTTTCGTGTCGCCAACAGGTGGACTTGGAACTCATCCAACTGGGCGTTCAACGAGGACGAGGAGCCGATCATCTGCGGCAACGTAACCGGCGCCAGGTTCGTGTCTCACTGCCATCTCCGATTCCACTTTAGATAAGCTAATTCGAAAGATGCGTGGATCGTGTTACCTTGCGTCAACATCTCTAAATGAGTGCCATTCGATTTTCTCTTCAAGGGAAAAATAAAATTTTCCCTTGAAATTGCAAGGGAAGCGAGAAAAATGGCTTTACTGCCTCTCTGAATCGACATGTCAGTCTTATAGCGAAATTTCTTAATGTCACGTCCATTTTTCTCGATGAGAATCAATAGTCTTCGACAATCTGATGGAAATTTCTTTATTCCTTACTGCGGAAAAATTTACCCAAAGTCGAGTAAAGCATTTGCGAAGAAAATGGTTTTCAATTTCAAGAATTCATATCTTTTTGGAAAGAAAATTTGTGAATAGAAAAAAGAATGTGTATGAAAAAAAAAGTTGTATAACATTAGTTAACAATGGTCTAATAAAAAATTATTTTCAATAACAATAATAATGAAACAAAATATATCTTATTTTTCTTGTAATAAAATATTTGTTTTATTAATACTACATTATTATTATATAATATTGTATATATCATGCATGATATTTGTTATTAAATTAATATTATTATTAAATAAATATTATTAATGTTGTTAATACAATATCATATTTTTCTGTATTATTTTGGAAATTTTAGTTATCCTTCCGTTAAAATTTTGCATAAGGAATTATATTTATATGAGAAATATTCATTACAAAAAATAATTTTTTTTCGTAACTATTTTTCTATCTTACACATAGAAATATAATGTTCAGAAATTTTTAATAGAAACTCGTTCGCGATGAAAATATAAATCGTTGTTAGTTATTGTATAAAATCAGTACTCGTAAAATCAATAGTCTTTAATAACTCGATTAAAATTTTGTTCCATACTATGGAACAAAATTTTAATCGAATTATTAAATACTATGGAAAAATTTATCCGAAGCCAAATAAAGTATCTATAAGAGAAGAGAATAGATACAAAAATTTCTCAATTATAATATAAATTTCATGTTCTTTAGAAAAAAATCAATGTGTGAAAACAAGAAGTACGTACTCTAAAAATAATATACTGCATAAGAGTAGTTTAATTGAAAATAATCTTATTAATTTAATAACAGTAAATATTAATGAGATAAATCGTATATGAGATAAATCAGCTAAGCTATTTAATTTGTGACATTTCAGTTGCGTTTCTGAGTCCGGAAAATTAATTCAGAGCGCAATTCGAGAAACTACAAATGTGAGATATAAATTCACATGAAATTATTGAAAGCATTTAAGATTCAGTTTTGACTGATATAAGCATTACTTCTTACTTATTGTAAATTAAGCTAAAATTATTTAATCTTTTAACTTAGCACTACCTAACTCTAGATAAAACATAAATCATCATTGATTATTGGCAATTGTATAAAATCGGTGAACTGATGTTATAGATGATGTTATGTAATTATTTGTTACGTTATATGGTTATTTGTTATATGATCATATGATCACCGATGATGTTACATGATTATTTGTCATAGTTACTAATTAATCACAGGCGATATAAGAACATTTCCATCATGATATCCAGTTATGTTTGATCACTCGAGCGTATCATTTGTAAGATCGGTTTATTTCATGTACTTTGGCGAACGTGTGCATGTGAGCACTTTTATATTTATTGATTTTTGGGAAGCATTGATTACGCCGAGCGCACGTATGTGCGACGGAATTCGGCCGATTCGTATAAATAAGTTTGCAAAAGCTTTACTACTTTACAGCGGCGCACAAACTTTATGGCTACTCTTTCGATATATCGATGTTCCGTGGAAAGTAGGTTTTTTTATTCGATCGATGTCCAGAGCTAACAGTTTCTTGGCACTTTTGATGAGACATCCTTGTGAAGAAACTCGTCCGTAGAAATATTATACTTATGACTTTTCCATGGATGTTTCACGCTGAATTTTATAATTGTACACAGAAAAAACGATTTTGCTGAAGTATTCGGAAATTTAGTTAGATGCAGATCTGAAAATAATTTCATTGGACCATCAAAATAATTACGAATGCTTAGCTATTGATAACAATGCAGCAAATAGTATGATGGTTCAAATAAAATTACTTTTCTGTATCATAACTAAATTTTTAGATATTTCAGCAAAATCGTTTTTTTTATATCTGCTGTTATTTTTTCATGAAACACACAAATATTTAATGAATATCATTTGACATCTAAATATCTTGCAATATTCAGATTTCATTAATGATTAATTGTTATCTTTTAATTATGTGAGGAATGTTGCATAAGAAAAAAATGAATAAATGATAGGACACAGTATGACATATATTTTTTTGTTTCCGGGGGATGAAACGTTATAAAACATGATTACAAGAATTACACAGTTGCAATTTTTCAATTTTAATTTTACGAGATAACGAGGCGTTAAATATTCTTGTCTAACGAATGCGGGTCACATATAGTCGATAGTTGCCGCGGACTGACCGCGAATACTGACACGATAAAGGCCTTGGCGAGTAATATTTCCACACTTGATGACATGTATACTACGAACACTTGAAACGTTCTCACGGTTATCACGGATATTACAGTGTCGACAATGTGGACAATCTTTCCTATTTTCCAGACACTGCAACGAAAGCTATACTTGTCTCTGCGTTGGTCCTAATCCAAACCACGGTTACACCAACTTCGATAATTTCCTGTGGTCGATGCTCACGACCTTTCAACTGATTACCTTGGATTACTGGGAGGATGTCTACAACAAGGTTGTCGTCTGAAAGATTTGTTTTGTTCATTTCATGATATAAATGGAGATTGAACAAAACGCTTTTTTATGCTTCCAAATTCTTTCGACGCGTCTTTTAGAGAAAATTAAAATAAAATGAGTTTCCTTTAAAATTTTTTATTTTCCATTTTAACCTTTTTTCTAAATTGACATTAAGTGACTTAATAGTTGTATTCAGAAAATTGGAAAGTGAAAATTAATAAATTTAAAAAAAAACAATATATATATTTATAAAATATTATATTTATATCTTTTGTGGATAAAATGTAAGTGTAAATCGTTGCATCTAGAAAATATATCAGCTGCAAATAAATCAGCATATCAATTTATTATCATGAAATATTTTATATGGCTATAGAAATGTAATAATAGAATGATTTTTTATATGGCAAGTGATTTGTTATAGAAATGATAAGTAAAGTTTTACTGAACAGGTATTATCGGCATGCGGACCTATTAGTGTCACATTCTTTACGGTCGTCGTTTTCTTTGGATCATTTTATTTATTAAACTTGATGCTGGCTGTCGTGGCGTTGAGTTACGAGGAAGAAGCTGAGATTACAAATGAGGTATGTATTTCCTTTCAACTTTTGACATACACCTATGTCTTACTTTAACTCTTCGAAGTTGATGATGAGTTTATTGGACCTATTCAATTCTTTATATTGAATCTATACAAATTTAAATTATTGTCATTAAAATTTATTCACACGTACGCACATTTTTTTTATATATGTATATGAATTATATCCTTTAAATTAATTAATGCTTTTTAGTTAACATAAATTAAATGGGTTTTACAGATGTCAATAATTGTATTACAGATTTTGATGTCAGCTTCGGTAGGTTAAAGTAGCATTTTAAAATATAATATTAATTCGAATGTGTTATGCTAAATGAATTATGCTGACATTTTACAACAATGCATTAAAAATAATAATTTATTCAATAAAATGTTATATGTTAGTTCGTTTTATTAATCACTTTTATCTAGCATTTTATGACGTTATCTACATTTAGCCGAGTATTTTGAATGCAGGAACGAAGAAAAGACTTGACGGATCATCGCGAAGACTCAACGTTTAGTTTCGATCCATCAAAAATCAATATTAAGACACTGACAAAAAATAAACAAAAAAGAATTGATGCCCGTAAAGGAGTTTTGCTCAGCAGTTACACAAGGAAAAAGACGCGTAGAAGAAAGCGCGGGAGGAGCAGCATTGGCCAGGAAAAAAACGGTGGTGCACGCAGCAGGTTTCTATATCTGTATTTACGACCGATTTTATACAGTTCAATTTGTCATCACCATTGCTATCGGACACTCGTTATGCTTGCAAGTTAAATGAGGATTTTGATTTCGAAAAATGCTAAATACAATATTAAACATACGACAATTTATTTATATGTTCAAGATTAAAACGTTTACTTTTTGAAAAAAAAATTGAATTTATAGAAGATTATATAAAATAAATGCTTTTAGTTCTTTAACTTGGAAAAATATAAATAATATTCTCTAAATGTTCAATTGCGTGTAAAGCTTTTATAAATAAAATAAAACTAAGGAAACATGAATTACATATAAATCTGTTTCTGCTTTTATTCAAGAAAAATATTGTTTTAAAATGAAAAACACTATGAGTAAAAATAAAATACTTCAAGTATAAAGTTAAAACATTTGCTTCTGTAAGAACAAAATAGCAAGTGTATAACAACAAAATGTTTTAATTTTGTCAGCATCTTTGCACTAAAAGTATTCACTGCCTATATACAAAGAGTTAAAATAATAATATTTAACACAGTGCATACATACACACATATATATATATA